TTTTTTAACCATCACTTACTAGATAATCTTGCTTTCTGCTTCAGAGGAAAAACATATCATTGGAAAGAACTCATTTAAGTTTCCTCCTATTAAACAGATAGACCTATGTGACTACATCTGCAACCATCCTCTTTTTTCTCTTAAGCTAGTAAGGGGATTTTCTTTTCCATTATGCTTAGTTCCTATTCCCTCTCACCACTTTGGGAACTGATACTGTTTTTAATCTAACTGATCTCTTCCTCTTCAACTGGATTGTTCTTATCACCTTTTAAACATGATAGAGTCTCTCCCAATTTAAACAGTTCCCCAACCTCCTTCCAACACACATTTAGTCATTCAGATATGAAGTAAGTTAACTACATGTAAAAGTTTTGGGTAACAATTTTACTCTTAAAACTGTATAGATTCTGCTTTATTCAATATCTGGCTTCACTAAGTGTTGCAGAGACATCTGTAGTCTATATTTTTTTCATTTTCTATGTTTATGTCTTTTAAGCCTGCATGTTTATAGGCATTTTCCTGTGCCTTTTAATGAAGAAATTTGCTAAGATACATCTAATGGTAGATGTATTAAAAAGGCTTCCTAGCCTGCATCCACTGATATTTTTCCACTTGGGGAATATTTTCTTACTCTATCTGATTCTGTTCTATTTTGTTTGATCTCTTTGTGAATATTATGTGCATGTTGGATTTCTGATGTTTGTTCTTTGTCCTTTCCTCTGTAGTTTAATATTAGCCTCTTATAATAGCATTTGATTAGCTGCAATATAAATTCTGCATTTTACTACTTTTATGATGGGTTTTGATTTTGCTGTTGGATTTTTAGTTTTCTTGAATTTCTTTCTTATCTTATCCTATTTTATTTACATTTCCTCTTGCCCTTTCCTAATTAGTTTTTGTTTTGCTATTTGATAGAGTCTATCCCCCGGCTATTTCTGGATATTTTCTTTTTATCCTGAAGTTGATAATTTTCAGAGTTATGATCTTTCTTTGGGCTGTCAAGATTACTTTTACTCTCCATTGATTTTTAGTATTTTCACAGACTCCTACTTTTTTTCTTTTTACTCATTTTTAAATAAGGCAAGGTATCCGTGCAGTATCTACCTAGCTGTATCCTAAGATAGGTTAGCCAGGCTGCTGCCAGTATGCTCCTTGTCTTCATCACTATGTATAGTTATAGACGTTAAACTTCTCCAAATACCATGTACTTCTGCCAGGGGTAGAATAGTGTTGGTGGGGGGGGTACATACATAAAAGTACTCTGGGTATCCTGCACTAGCATGATAGAAAGATGGTTGTCTCTGAGTCAGTGATCAGAGAGTAGAGGGTGTACTAAGTGTTTCCCATATTTTCAGGTGTTTTCTGTTTCATGAGGCGGAGTCTTGGACTGTAATAAAGAGATGATTGCATATATTGTTTTCACTCAAGCTCCATCTGCTTATAGTTAGTAGAGACTCCCTCTTAGACTCTAGGAATGGATTCTCTGTTGGACTAAGCTTTTTTTTTTTTTTTTTTTT